CAATAACCTGTTTTATGGGAGTATTTTAGCTAACAGTATAACTGGGCTGGCCTGTGTGGTCCAATCAACCAGACGAGCTAGTGTAGCTCAAACTGCTGAAACAGTTTATGCTGGTTCTGATAGAAAGGTGTCAGTACACACAGTGCATCACAGTTGTGTATGGGGCTGCATAACATTATAATCAACAGGGTGCCAAGGTGGTCATAATGTTATGGCTGATCAGTGTATTGTGTATTTTAAACATTTACATTAACATTTTAAATTGTACAAGAGTCGGTTTAAATAGGTAAGATTCACATATTATATTGGATAACAGTATTCTGCATTAAACTGTATTCTTGTGATAGTGTCTTATGTATGACTACTAATTTTAAACACATGGTAAGCTTCTTCCAATATTTTATATTATTATATTGTTCCCTTGGGCTATCTAATCTTTAGGAGGTGTACATGTCTGACCTGGGCTCCCTGTTGCGCCTCAGCAGGCTGACGAAGGTCTCAATCTCTTTGGCTGTGATGTGTTTTTCCAGCAGCTTGCGGTTATTGTGCAGCAGGGCAGTGATTGTGTCCTCAGCCAGGATCTCATACCCAATCTGAGACTGCATGATTGAGAACTTTTTGGCTATATATTCCTACGCGGAAATAAGAAACATATGGAAACACTTCTTATGTGAGTGGTATTAAAGTGAAGTTGAGAGAAAAAGTCAGAGCAATACAAAAAAAGCATAAAAATGTGCAGAATCACTGAAATGTAGTGTCTTCATTCAATCATAATACAGAGAGAACTTGTTGAACAAGATAACTTTTGGAAAAAAAAACATCCTGATTTACATTCATGAAGTTCACAGTTACACCTGAGAGCTGCCTGTCACATCCACAGCCTGTTAACCACTGAGCAGCTCAACATGAGCTATATGTGATTAGTCAATAGCTGCAAATGATGACTATTTTCATCATCAATTAATCTACTGATTAATCAAGTGAACTCCAACTGATGATTAAGCATCTTATAAAATGTCAAAATAATAAGTACACTTAAAACTTATCAAAGTCCAAAAGTGAGGTCATGCAAATGCTTAATTTGTTAGACGAGCACAAACACCCCTGAAAAAATTTAATTTGTAATGTAATGAAATTGAGAAATTTCAAATCTCCATATTTTCAAAGGTGTAACTAGCAAACGTTTGGTAATTTTACCTAGATAAAATAAATTAAAGCAAGTGTATGTATTTTTAACAGAAATATTGTTGTATTAGAGAAGCACAAGTGATACCAATAACATTAATAATGGCTCTGTTAATGTGTCCCAGTAACAGTGTTTTAATGCATTTTATTATTTACACCTGTGCTATTCCTTCCGTGACATTTCAAAATATCTTCTGTGAAAAAGGCCTGTTGCTTTAATGAAGTAATTATTAGGTGACGTGACTAACACTGCAGGGAACGAGAATGAAAGCAAGGAATTAAAAATACCGAGTGTCTACTTCTTGTTTTACTCTTGTAAAAAAAACAACTGACAAATGTTAATCTATGACATGCTAACATGGTAGAATCCAAAGTCAGTCAAATAATCATAATCAGCCGAGAGCTATTAGTCGTACTTGGACAAGAAAGACTGTAGTAGCAAAAGCCACAAGTGTACTGAGCTGAGAATGAGTGCATTAAATAAAATATATATTTCTTATTTTATTTTATAATACGCAATGGTTGTTATAATTAACAAAAAAAAAAGGTAAAAAAAGTACAACAAACTTTCATTATTAAACTTATGAATTATTTCTATTGATTCACTAATCAATTTAAAAGACTGTTTGAGCACGACATTGTTTCCTTGATCAAGGGCAGCATTACAGCAGCTGTAGTCCCTGAATAGATTTTTCCAGACAGTCTGGCAGGATCTATGCTGATACTGCCAAAAGCCACCTCTCTATCCTTAAACTACCCCACATCCCCGTGATAATGAGCATGTTAATGAGTCTGATAAAAACTCAATGAATACTCAATATTAGACTTGCGTAGAAGGCAGAAACATGCCTGGTTCTTGCGATAGTCCTGTTGGGAGTGGCGCAGCACCCTGTAGCAGAGTCTCAACATGTACTTGAAGTGAGCATAGCGCTGGTCTCCCAAGTCCTCCAGCTTTAGCATCGGACCTTCACCCTGATCTGTGAATGGAGCCTTCAGGATGCCAAAAATCTGGAGGAACAGAAAACCTTCTTAATTTGTGGTAATGGTAATGAAAACAGGACACATTTAAACATTTAATCAGTCAGTCCTGAACCCTTATGTTAAACTTCAGATTAATCTGCACTCTGTCCAAACGAAAAGGACAGAAAGGACAGACAGAAGTATGTATGAGCGTGTGTGTGTGTGTGCTCATGCTGACCTGGGCGAGGATGTTCTGTTCCCTCATGAGTTTCTGCCTCTCTCGGTTGGGTGTAGAGGTGACCACTGACAGAACATCCTGGCCATTGTTTGGTACCACACACACAAAGAAAACCAAGTCCTCCAGGAGCTTAGTCACAAACCTGAAATATACATAAAGGCAAAAAATAACATGTGAAATCATAAAAAATGCACGCCATCTTGTGCCGCCTGTGTCGTCACGCTCATGCGTCAGTACCTTCTCTCATTCTGAAAGATGTTGCCGTACTGAAGCTTCCTCACAGTGGACTCCAGGACCTTGTTGGCATCATTGGCAAAGTCCAAGTCTCGGACCTCCGACAGGGGCACAGAAACGATAGCAAAAGCCTCTTTGTCCTCTTTAGTGGGACAGGTGCCAATCTATTGTGAGAGCCAGAAGAAATGTCCAAATACTGCATCCATGTATGTGTATGTGCATGTTTGTTTGTGTGCGTTTGTGTGTATGTGCGTGTTTGTTTGTGTGTGTGTGTACCTTGAGCATAACCGGACGCTCCTCCTCTGCATCGATGGGGACGTTGGTGCTTGTCACCCAGGTGTTGGTACACAGGTGCCTAAGTCTCACATAGGAGTTTCTGAGGATGAATGGGACAATTAATTCAGACCAAACATGATGTTTAAATGGTTGCATGTTTGCTGCCTCATATCCAGTCTTAAAATATTATTTTTTAGCAATGCTAGCGGGGCAGCTTTAGGTTAAAATATATCAGCTACTATTGGATGGATGCTATGACTTTTTGTAAGGACATTCGTGGTCTTCAAAGGACAAAACCTAATAACTTTGGTAATTCTCTGACTTTTACTCCACATTACTATTTTTTCACAACTATTGGATGGGTTACTATGAAATTTGGTGCAGACACAAATGTCCCCCTCAGGATGAATTGTAATAACTTTAGTGATTCACTACTTTTTCATCTAGTCGAATCACCAGGTCAGAACTTCAATCTATCCAAAGCTTTGGTTTATGACCAGATACCTGCAAAACATGCATTCTCCCATCAGCCTTAGCTCTTCTTTGTGTTTAGTATGAATATTAGCATGCATGGTAAACATTATATCTACTAAACTTGTCATTTGAATATGTAATCATTAAGATTAAAGCACAGCTGGGCCTAAGGACAACCTCACAGAGCAGCTAGCATACAATCTTGATATAAAATATGTGTATACTAAATGTATATTAGGCCAATTTAATGAGACACTTCCATTAACTTCTATTTCAGCTGAACTTGTTTGTGGAATTTTCCAGTAACAAGTGTCAGTAAATTGTTCTGCTGCAAACAAAATTCACAAAAGCAGATGGTTTGGCGTCAAAACAAGTGACATTATCTCACCTTAATGGCAGCTTTTCTGACAAGAAGTGCTCTGCTATGTGCTGTGAACTCTAGTTAAAAATGCCCCCTGTGTATACAACTACAGCAGATGTAACTTGTTCATTGTTACTGTTGCCCCCATGTGAGTGACTGACCTGGGCACGAGACAGTCTGCCCGCTGCAGGGTGGTGGCATCTAGCTCAAACAGAGAGGCAATGTCATTCCCATGGGGAACAGAAACCAGGGTGAAAGCAATCTTCTCTGCCGCTTGATGCTTCCTCTTCGAGAATACAATATCTGTTTCATTCTGCAGCACACACACATACAAGAGAACACACACACAAACACACATGGAGGAAGTAGAAATTAGTGTCAGCAGTCTAAAAGCTTATGTGGCAGACAGTGAAGTCGTTTATCACTACTCACAGTGTGGATTTTATACTGTCCCAGCAATCTTTAAACGTACATACATACACAACACTACATTCCTTTGTGTGTTTAGTCCATATTCACGTCTATAAAAAGAAAGATGCATGCAGGGCTTGGTAACACTAGTGTGTTTACACTGTTGCAAGTCAATGAACCTCACTTGGAGCAGGACAATTTGCTTGTTTGGTTGACTAACCATGTTATACACCAATTTACCTACAACATGACCTTTATCTAAGTTTCTGATAACTGATAAACCATTTCACTGGTTCCAGCTACTCAAATGTTTAACACATTTGAGTCTGCTGTTTTCCGTTGTTATATGTGATAGTAAAATTAATATCTTTTTTTGAACGGTTGGTCAGATAAAAGAAGCAATATAGTCACTGTGGGCAATGGGAAATTACTCTATTACATTATGTTCTCACATTTCATAGACAAAATGATAGAATAATCAATAATGATAGTATAATTATGAATAATTCAGGCTTCAACCAGCGCATATTTGGTATATTACTTTAGATTATGATATTACACGATAGATACTGGATATTGTAACACAAATGTTATGATAATTAATAACACTGAGAGAGCTGTTCTATTGGTTCCCATTAGATTGAGTGAGTGTATATCTTGCTATATTCGAAAGATTCAGCTTCATCTCAGTGAACAAGAATTTCTAAGTTGAGTATTAAGTCTATGTGAACAAAAGCTGAGAATAGACACGATTATTGTCAAGTTGCCATGACTCTTTTGGACAAATACTCACGTAAATACTGATAAATAAGCCCAACTGTTGATAAAATCTATAATTGAGGACAGATGGATGTGAGCCAAACTATACTGTCACAGCTTCTTACACTAATGAGGTATCAAATTACATAGAAATGTAGCCAGAGAGCCATGACTTCTCTGTGTGGTGTGTCAGACACTGCAGTACGTAGGCTGGTACAGTCTGCACTGTGCAGATGCAGCAGATAATGGCGAGGGTTAATTTCTCCCACTGTTCTCTGCATGTCAATGGGAAGCTCCCCAGAGCTGCCTCCACGCCTCAGCTTCTCTATCCTCCCCCCCCGCTGGTGACT